TTGCCCGGAGAACAAAAGCTATATTTATTTGCATTACCAAATTAAATCCGCCTGAATTAGCTGGGCCCCGGCTGCTTTTTTGATGAACTCCATGCAATTAAAAGTCGCTATTATTATTGTTGCTGTCTGTCCCTACTCTCTCAAGTAACTACTGAAATTAATTACACAGGGAAAAAAAACATAGAGTTTGAAGAAAACATCATCAGTCATGATCATTCCACTGCTGGATGAAGGCCTCCCCAAGCCATCGGAGATCTCTCTTGCGCCCTCACATGATGCGATTTCACCGCTCCGTCTCTTCGGCTGCCACTGTTGTTGACCATCGGACGTCATCCCTTCTGATGATGTTTCCAGAGCAAGCCCATTCACTTTCATTGAATGTGTGAATGACCATGTTTCTAAGCCATATGTCATAATTCTTACACGGTTAGGTGAAATTTCACCGTCAGTTTAAGGTTCAATTTGCATCTCTCCAACATTTAATCCTTGATTAAATAAAATCCCTTTCGCTGGGACATAAAGGCTTGGTGCTATATTAACGGAATGCAATTTGCTGTGGCTGCTCTGTGTATACGAGGAATTTCCTTGGCCCAGTGTTCAACCATAATAGGTAAAGGTGCAGCCCTGCAATTGCTTGCTGACACCACGACTGGCAGAAGGGGCCTCCGTTAGAGGGCGTTCTAGAGAGCCCCTCTCTCGAGTGCCCCTACAGAAGGTATTTGGCCTACTCCTCCACGCTGGCTAGACGTCTTGGAAGAGGTGGGAGGACCCACACTTTACCCCACCACACTACGACCTACTAGCTAACCCAGCCACCGTCATGCGCTCCTCTCTGCGACTCGTGTTCGATTCCCTCCCCGTCGTCTCTTTCCCCCCCGAGCACTCGTTTGCGTCCTCGCTCAAATTCGAGAAAGACGTGACGAACTCTCCTCGGTTTGACTTGTCGATGGCGCCCTCGCCCGCTTGTCCCGGCGCCTGGACGCACACTCGGCCCGCTGGCACCACCGGTGTCATCCGCCAACGGCGTGCTCCTCCGCGGCCCCCCCCGTTGGTCGGACCGCCCCCCCCTCCTCCCCCCCGGCGAATCGGGAGGCGAATCCACCGGTTGGCCGCGGCGGCGTCGGCGTCGAGAGGGGTCGAGCGCGTGTTGGTGTTTGCGGGCGCTATCGTCCCGCAGATGGTAACGACGTGAGAACGCTCCCCTGCTTTGCTTCGTCAAAGGCTGCGTGCCCCCCCCCCCCCCCGCCCGCTCCCCCCGCCCGCCTCTCGCTTCCAAGCCGTGCATTGTTTATCGGAGCGTTTGGGGCGAGTCGCGGGGGGCGGCTGCGGGGTTAGAACGCTGCGGATGAACAAAGGCGAAACTCACTTCTTCTGGGAGTGATCTCCCCCCCCCCCCCACAGACGCCCCCACACCCCTGGCGGCCCTCGCCTGCTTGCCATGGCTGCCTTATCTTATTGTTGCAGGCTCTCGTGTCATAAAGCCGTGCGGCGGTGTGAACAACCAAAGAACGGGGGGCCGAAAGGCACCGCCCGAACTGTTGCGCTTCTACTTGGAATTATCGAGCAAACTGTGAGCTGTGCTGCTCGCGATTATCCACCCGGTTGATGGGCCGGTGTCGGCTGCGCGCGCGTGTGTGTGTGCGTGCGTGCGCGTGCGTCCATGCGTGCCGAGGACAAAAATTTAAATGTTGGTGAGGAGGGCAGCTAAAATGAGCGCTTGTTGTGCGATAGCCGTTGCCGTTGTCGCAGCCAAAGGAAGCTTGCAATCGGCGACGTTGTCTGCGACTGCATCGCTCGCCTCCGCTTCTGTTCACGAGGTCGTTGCTGTAATTGGGGTCATCGCTGCGTGTAGCTGCCGCCAGGAAGCCGGCCCTGTGGAAGCAGCGAGCGAGGGTTGGTGGATCACCGCACAAATGTTGCCTAAATCCCTTCCCGTAGGTGTCGAGGAGGAGCCGTGAACCTGGCTTGGTCAGGAGGTGCAGCAAAAATGTTGGCTAATGTCATCTGTCCCATCTGTTCCATCTGTCCCATCTGTATGAGATAGAATGCCACACGAGTTGTTTTTCTCTAGGTGTTCCGGTCCCCTCCTGTATGTCAACACAACATTTTGGCTGATGACATCGTACGCGGTACGAGTACGCGGTACGACTACGGTACGCAGTGGTCAAAGTTGACGTGATTATAAAACGCATCGATGGAGAGAGATTTACGGTTTCGGACGCACGTATTTTGCACACGCGTCAGAGACGTCGGTGATTCTTGGTATCATCACAAAGTGGCTTTTTGACTTGGGTATAGTATGCCAACCAGTTAGGAATTGCGTAACTAATTTGTCCACCTTTCTTGATACGGGCAAACAACTCTGAAAAATACCGCAGTGTCGGATATACTCATTAAAACTTATATATTTTTTTATCCACGCTGGGATGGAGATGGTGCACACAATTTTGATTGTTTGTCAAAAACCACCGACTTCTTCCAAAAATAATCCCTATTATCTAAAACAATAGATGTTGATATTGAAATGTTGGCTGCAGGGTCGCCTTATTTGTAAAACTACCCGAGACATTGTGTTCTCATCGTGTTCTGTGTGCCGCTGAAAGTGAACAACGCGCCAACAACGCAGCTCCGACGCGGATAATCCTTGGAAAGCCGAATAGAGTTCACGAGAAGTCACAAAAACACCTCGTGAAAGACCAGACGACGCTGAAGATCCCTGGCTTCGATCCTTTGTGAAGCTCCTGGACCACAATCCACTGCAGCCGCAGATGCGGATTACTGCTGATGATGAGACCCTAGAGGGAGCTTGAAATTGCAGGGCTGCACCTTTAATTACAGTAATTGTTAATTAATTCCTTGTTTCACCCTGAATACAGACTTATATATTTATGTTTAGTTTATGCAAAAAAGTCAGATTGTTGAGTAAATGATTCCCAATGTTGTGCCACATTGCCCTTTATTATGCACAGTTTATTCATATCTCATGAGCAGCGCTATGAATAGTTGCCGACATTAGGTGTTCGCAGGTGCAAAATGTCACTTTGATAACACAACATACTAATGACGCAACATCTGAAAAACACGAAATATTCATAACACGAAATATTAATTAACCTTCACATATTTGTCCCTCCACTTAAATATAATCAGCCACACGGCATTCTGGGAGTGCATCATTGAACTGGGTTGCATATCTAGCAGAGAGGAGGACCCTTGCCAGGTCACCGGCATGGCTCAAGCAAGCAAGCGTGACTGCTGATGAGACATTGAATGTCGAAACTTGTCCACAAAGTGTTCTTGTACTGAGCCCGTGCTTCTCAAAAATAATGCACTCCCACGGATAGCCGCGTGGCTGATGTGGTGTACATTTATTTTGTATTTTGTATGTGGAGGGACAGATAATGCGAAAGGAAGCGTTGTTGTCTGTTTATTTTGCTAATTCTATGCCCCCTTGATTTTTCAATCCCTCGACCGCTTCAAACGTGTAGTTGCCATGCTCTGCACCGGAGAGAAAACGTTGTGTTTACCTTTAAATTATATTTTACAATTATAATTAACCAAAAATATTGCTTTTGAGATGTAAAATACCCCATTCAGGGTTCGGTCCCAAGGAGACGGAGCTCCATTCAACTGCAATCATTTAATGAAACGCGACTTTGTTTTTGTCACTCAAGGAACGTTCCAATTGTCTTTGTTTCGCGTGTGTGGTGGCACAGAGATAACAGCCAAACGCCCGCCGCTTTAATTACCGCCACTGCTGCTTCGTCTGTGCCGGTGTAACCGACCCCAAGATGCCGTTTGCGATTCGAGCTGGTTTCATTTCAGAAGCGCAGGCGACAAAAAAATCCAACGACCTCACCCTTTGTTGTCTTTCGTTATTGTTGTCGGCCGTGATCTATCCACCGCTGGATGAAGGCCTCCCCGAGGACGTCCCAATAACCTCGCGGAATCTTCTGACGCACTAATCCGTCCTTGCTCTTGGAACGCGAGCTGACCTCGCCACTCCATCTCCACGGAAGACGTCCTCTCGGGCCAAGAATGCCATCTTTTTTTTTGTATTCCTGCCGTGGCAAGCAGCTTCTGCGCGGGCCGTAATCTACGCCCTGCTGGCGTTGGCGGTTTGAGCCGGGCTTTTATTATGGAATTTCAAGTGGGAAAATAAATCTAGTAAATCATCAGCGTCCATCAGCATCGGCTATGATCTGTCCACTCCTGGACGATGAAGGCCTGTATATGGAACGTCGGTGACGGGGGTTGTTGATTAGCTGATATTTTTCCGCGCTGGTCAGTGTGGGGGGACCCTGGCGAAGGAGTGGGGCGGGTGGGGGGGGTACCCTGAAATGGATCAGATAGAGCCCACCGCTGATTTATGTAAGCTGTGGAATCGGCTTGAGATCACAAGGTTCATAATGCATTATGCTCACCGCTGCGCCGCCTCTCCCCCAAGCCATCGCAATCTTGCATAGTCCCGTGATGCGATAATCCACCGAGCACCTGTACACGAGCCGATGTCGTCGCTCCACCTCCGTGTGTGGGCGTCTTCTTGGGCGCGATCGCTCCTTTGGCTGCCGCTCCAACGTTAGTCTCGACCGCCGGTCATCGTCCCCTCTAGCTGCGACGTGTCCTGACCAAGCCCACTTACTTCTACAAACTGTCATTGTTATGTCTCTGACTTGCGTGTGTTCTCCAAGCTACGGGTTTCCTTTCCTGGCTCAATTTAATTGCGAGCGCACACCCCTCGGCGATTCTTTGCGCACTTTTCAGTTTTTTTCCCCCATTTTTGTTTGGCCATGTCGTATGTTTCTGAACTATACGTACAATCTATAGGTATAGATGGAAACAATTATCCATTAGGAATTCCTGTCAGTGATGAATGTCATGAAGAAGCTTCCAGCACGTGAAGTGAAACGTCGGACGTCATGCCAAACAACACGTGGCACAACCCGTAGCTGACTAACCGCTTGCCCTGTCCCGCGTGTCCCGCGTGTGACGCGGTGCAGATGGTGGGGTGCGGCGTGCGCTGTGCGCTCATGGAGGGGGAGCGGGGAGCCGGTGGGGGGCTCTGTGCCCCCCGTGGGTCGCGGCCCGCGGCCCAGGGACCCCCCCGGAGTCTCGACACCGACGGTAACGACGACGACGACGGCGCTGGAGTTGGTGACTCCGCCGTCCAGGGTAACCGACCGCGAACTCGCGACCGTCCGATTGCGAGCCGCTCGCTCTAGCGCTCAGCTACCCAGGCCGGTTGCTCAAATCCAAACTTAGGGTGCATTTATTTGATACGGTCGAGTAGGCGGTCACAGTTGCTTGTTTGTACCCGCCACATACTTGTTGTCGTTGTTGTTTACCTCTAGATTAGAAGTTTTTGTGACTGCAAGGATTGATACAGTAATTTTGCTGTGACGGTTCCACCTGAAGACGGCAGCTTGTGTTGCCTCCGAAACGTCGTGATTTAATTTATTTAAATTTTTTACCTACGTGATTTTACCGAAAAAAACAAAAGAGTGTGTTGTTGTTTACCCTTTAGTTGCTAATCGCGGGGGCTTCCTGGCTTCTGCTTTGTGTCTAGACGTGCGGGCAGCTCTTCGTCTCGTTACACCTCAACGAGTGGAGAATTATCGAGTCACCTTAGTTCATTCAAGTTGTTTAGCCAGGTGAGAAGTTGAGACACCAGGATGAGTTATTTGCTAGTGAATTGCGAAGTACAATCCACCTATATGAGCATGTGGGTATCCGTGGGTAATCTGTGTGAGTCTGGGTCTTAGTGAGAGTCTCGGTCTTTGTTGGAGTCTCTGGGTTTCTTTGTGAGTCTATGGGTCTCATTGTGAGTCTATGGGTCTCTTTGCGAGTCTATGGGTCTTTTTGCGAGTCTATGGGTCTCTGTGTGAGTCTTTGGGTCTCTGTGTGATTCTAAGGGTCTCTGCGAGTCTAGATACCTGTATATTTCTGGGTATTTGTGTGAGTCTTTGGGTCTCTGTGTAAGTCTATGGGTCTCTGTGCGGTGTCTGTTGCGTCGCGTGATGATCGCCGTTTGTATGGCGCTGGCCGACCTCCAATCTCACTCCCCCCCCACCCGACGCTGCTGTCATTGTGACAGACGTGTCCCTGCTTCTGTTTAACCCTCTGCCTCCTGTGTGTGTGTATATGGTGTGTGTCATATGCGTTTGTTGTGTGTATGATACGTGTATGTAGTGTGTGTGGGTGTGATGTGTGTGCATGTATGTGAAGTTAGTATGTGATGTGTGTATGTTCGCATGTGTTACGTGGTGTGTGTGATATGTGTGTCTGTGTGTGTCAGGGAGCGGTAGTGTAGTGGTTAGCCAACTACGCTACGAACCGGGCCACTCGAGTTTGATTCCCACTCACAGCCAACATCAGCCTTAAATGAGTACCTGGTGTGGTGTGTAAACATAATCATTTGGGACAAAAAGGCGGCCGGGCATGATGCTGGGCACCCACCCCCTCGTGTGCCGTGCCGGCGCATAGGTGCTCACTAACAGCACTTGCCCCATAAGTCTGTTGAGGCTACACGGGGGATCTTTGTCTTGGTATATGCGATGTGTGCATGCGTAAAGGAAGAAACGATGTGATGGCGATGGCCACATTGCACGATGACCCCGGTAACCGCGTCGCGAGTGAACGCGTTGAGTTGCGAAGAAGCTCCCCGGCACGCGGAGCGAAACGTCGGACCCGAGGTACGTCCGTGCGGGCAGCTCGCGGGTCGGCTCCCGTAACGGTGGGCGGCGAGCGTGCCTTCTGAACCGGCAACGGTCCCCCGGCGGCAATTCGCGTCCGCCATGAGGCTGAGAGTTCCGCCGTGTTCGGTTTCACACGGCCCCCGGCGCTGGAGCTGAAGCAGCAGCAGCAGAAGTAGCAGCAGCAGCGGCGGCGTCGTTGTCGCGAGGCGGCGTCCGTCTGGAACTCTGGCAGATGCGCGTCTCGCCGGCAATTAAGATCCAACGCTTGAACATTTTTTTTTCGTCAGTGAATAAAGTCATTAGGAGGATCTCGCGGGAGGTGTGGCCTGTAACGCGAGCTCCGCTCGTTTTGTCGCTGCGCGGGGGGGCGGGCGGGGAGGGGGCCAGATTGGAACAAGCCTGGCTCCCGGCGATAAAATAAAAAGGGGCCTCGCGGGACAAAGACCACCACCGAACCCTCCCCCCACCACCACCACCACCACCCCTCCATCCGTTCCCCAAATCCCAAACCAAAGCCAAGCCTGCTCTTTACGGAGCACCCTCTGCCTTTCGAAAGCTAATTAAATATTTACCAGGGCAAAGTTTCAGGCGCGCTGCCACCTGGTCACCGAAGCCACAAACATTGGAAAAGAAGAAAAAGAAAATGGAACAATTCCTACAATGAGAGCACGGTTCCGGCGTCCCACCACGCCTCACCGATCTGTGATTGTGTTTTGTTTAATGCTGAGAGTGCAAAACGTATATATTTTTTATGCTCAGAGTTTATAAAAGTGTAAGTCAGAAGTTGTTTTGAGCATTCAAAGTTGAACAGAATTTTTACAAAAACGTATTCCTAACAATTGCTGAAACACGAGTAGCCTTGATACTTGTAAAGTTTACTTGACGAGTTTTATTGGACCCTGGAACAAGCCGAAAATTTTATATTTGTGTGTGCGTGCGTGTGTGTGTTGTAAACTGAACGGTTTGCCGCGGCCTTTTGTGTTGGAAAGACAAATAGTGAAGAGGCTGTACTCTCTTCACTATTGTCGTTAAATCCTTCTCAAAGCTGTGTGCAGTCTCATCCTGGAGAGAGCAAAGCAAAATATTGGTAAAATACCCTTCACGGAGGGACACTAACTCTTTGGCTATACAAATGCGTTAATCTGATAAGAGTAGCTTTCCTTTGGAAACCTTGGCTTATCTGCTCTTGTGTAACCTGCTCTTCCACACAGTGACATATGGAGTCAACGCTGAGTGGGCGGCGAGGGAGGGGTGCAGGAAGAGAGAGGGTGGTAGGTGGTGGTGGTGGAGAGAGCGGTAGTGTAGCGGTTTGCACGCTGCGCTACGAACCCGGCCACCCGGGTTCGATTCCCGCTCACGGTCAACACCGGTGACCGATTATCTGAACCGGTCCTGGGCCTCCCCTAGCTCGAATCAGCCTCAAATGAGTACCTGGTGCGGTGTGTAAACATTGCCACTGGGGAGACAAAGGCGGTCAGGCGTGGTGCTGGCCACCCATCCCCTCGTGTACCGTTCCGGCCTTCATAGGTGCTCGCTAACAGCACTTGCCCCTACAGTCTGTTAAGGATTTACGGGGGATCTTTGTCTTTGGAGAGAGTGGCGAGGAAAGTTCGAAAAAGGCAAAGGTGAGGAGAGCGAAACATGGGGAGGGCGAGGCAAGGGAAGGGTGAGGGGCGCGAGGAGATCAACAAGGTGACTGAGGGCGAGGAGAGCGAGGGTGGTGGAGAACAAAGTTGGGGGCAGAGTGAGGCTGAGTGAAGCAAAGGGCGGGGGGAGTGAGGTGCGAGGCGGGCGAGGAAGGCGAGGGCTGAGGGAGGCAATAGGTGAGGGGAGTGAGGTGCGAGGCGGCCGAGGCGGCCACCTGCTCAGGGTTGTTGCCGAGCCCGTTGTGGCACGCTCCCTCCGGCGCCTCCGGCCGAATGCTCGCGACGTCGTCGCCGTTGTCGTTGTCGTTGCTGCCCCTGTGTTTGTTGACGGTTTGTGTTTGTTGACGGTTTGTGTTTGTTAACGGTTTGTGTTTGTTGACGGTTTGTGTTTGTTGACGGTTTGTGTTTGTTGACGGTTTGTGTTTGTTGACGGTTTGTGTTTGTTAACGGTTTGTGTTTGTTGACGGTTTGTGTTTGTTGACGGTTTGTGTTTGTTGACGGTTTGTGTTTGTTGACGGTTTGTGTTTGTTGACGGTTTTTGTTTGTCGACGGTTTTTGTTTGTTGGCGGTTTTTGTTTGTCGACGGTTTGTGTTTGTTGACGGTTTGTGTTTGTTGACGGTTTGTGTTTATCGACGGTTTGTATTTGTCGACGGTTTGTGTTTGTCGACGGTTTGTGTTTGTTGACGGTTTGTGTTTGTTGACGGTTTGTGTTTGTTGACGGTTTGTTGACGCTTTGTGTTTGTCGACGCTTTGTGTTTGTCGACGGTTTGTGTTTGTCGACGGTTTGTGTTTGTCGATGGTTTGTGTTTGTCGACGGTTTGTGTTTGTTGACGCTTTGTGTTTGTCGGCGGTTTGTGTTTGTCGACGGTTTGTGTTTGTTGACGCTTTGTGTTTGTCGACGGTTTGTGTTTGTCGACGGTTTGTGTTTGTCGACGGTTTGTGTTTGTCGACGGTTTGTGTTTGTCGACGGTTTGTGTTTGTCGACGATTTGTGTTTGTCGACGGTTTGTGTTTGTCGACGGTTTGTGTTTGTTGACGCTTTGTGTTTGTCGACAGTTTGTGTTTGTCGACGGTTTGTGTTTGTCGACGGTTTGTGTTTGTCGACGGTTTGTGTTTGTCGACGGTTTGTGTTTGTCGACGCTTTGTGTTTGTCGGCGGTTTGTGTTTGTCGACGGTTTGTGTTTGTCGACGGTTTGTGTTTGTCGACGGTTTGTGTTTGTCGACGGTTTGTGTTTGTTGACGGTTTGTGTTTGTCGACGGTTTGTGTTTGTCGACGGTTTGTGTTTGTCGACGGTTTGTGTTTGTCGACGGTTTGTGTTTGTCGACGCTTTGTGTTTGTCGGCGGTTTGTGTTTGTTGACGGTTTGTGTTTGTCGACGGTTTGTGTTTGTCGACGGTTTGTGTTTGTTGACGGTTTGTGTTTGTTGACGCTTTGTGTTTGTTGACGGTTTGTGTTTGTTGACGGTTTGTGTTTGTTGACGGTTTGTGTCTGTTGACGGTTTGTGTCTGTTGACGGTTTGTGTTTGTTGACGCTTTGTGTTTGTTGACGGTTCTCCACCGCGGCGGGGCCAGGTGGCCGAGTGGCCGAAGGTTGCGAGTTCAGATCCTGAAAGTCGAGTTGGCTCGGTTCCATCATCTCTCCGCGGTGTATAAACTGAGTACCACTTGTGGTCCATTGGCCCGGACCAAATATTTGACCCGGGATGGAAACACTTGAGTTTGTACCCACGACATTTCGGTTCAAGTTTGCATTAACCGTGTTTAATAAGCACGTAATCACGTCATCCGCTTACTTATATTAACCATATACGGAAAATGGTGACAGATGCCAC